GCCGGGTCAGAGTGGCACGCCTCCGCGGCTTCGGCCGCTGCCTTCTGGATATCCTTGGCGGAGGTCGTCTCCGGGATCCTGAGCCGCCAGGCCGAGTCGGCGAAGTTAAGGCAGGCCCCGTGGCGGCCGCGGAGGGCGATGGCGGCGACGTCGTGTGCACGCGCCGCCATCTCAGCCGTCGGAAAAGTCCCGAGCCAAATCCTCGACTTCTTGTTGGGCTCCCTCACCTCGCAGACCCACTTGTCGGAATCTCTCCGGCGAACTCCTCTGTAGATGGGATGCCGAGTCTCCCGAAACTTCTTCCGACCAGCTCGTTTCTTCGGACAGCTCGCCGCGAGCATCGGACAGGATGACGACCCAGTGTCGGAAACCGGAGACCCGTGACCCGACCCGGAGAGAAACGGGTCAGAAGACGAAGAAAACGGATTCATATGAACAGACTGCTCCATTTCTGGGTTTTTTCCCCTGAAAAATGGATAATGTCTTTATCGATCAAAGACAGAACATATATATATATCTGCAGAATCTTATGAAAACTGGATAAGGAAAAAAGATCAAAAGATTCAAAAGGCACGAACTTTATGGAATTAAAAGATTGTTAGAGTGATATATATATATATATATATAGGAGGGTGGATTCATGGAAAGATACGAGGGGGAGTGGACATTTGAGGAAACAGAACAGAGAACACGGAGTTTGTGGGAGTGACAAGTGGACAGCTAAGCTGGGACTTCCCACGGTTTATCTATGAAGACGTGCTGTTTCGTTTCTTTCAAAGCGGTTTTTTTATATATCCAAGTTGGTGTCGCAACTCAGTGGCTGGCTGACACGTGTCTTTTGACTCTTTTCCTTTCACTAGTGGAGCTGTCTTCAGCTGCGTTTCGAGAGATTTCACTTTCCGAGTATTTATAAATTTAATATAACAATACTAGAATATTTATTGATTTAAACTTTTACCTTATATATATATATATAGGATCAATCCCGTTGTCGTTTTCATTTACGTTCAAATTCTTTTATTTTTCATGTTGAATCGAATATTTCGTTAAATCCTCGTTTTGAGATGGAAGCTATGAAAGCGAGTTAACGTGCGAAATAAATTATCTATATTTGATAAATCTGATAGGTAGAAACATGCAATTGATGCCGACATAAATATATAAACAAATCCTCTCAATCATTAAATCATCCCCATTCTAATGCATGGTCAAGACTCACCTTATATTCCAAGTGTCTCAATGGTTAGAAATATTTAATCGAATTCTATTAAAAAAAATATATACGATTCAAAGTTAATTCAATTCAAATATTTTTTATTTCATGATTTTAAAGTTTTTTAACTCTAAGAATTTCAATTTATTAGGTCCCTTAATTCATTTTAGTTCAAAACTTTTCATTTCACATACTTAAGTCTATAAACCACATAAATTACATTGATTCCTTAATTTTCTATAATATACGATTCGAAAGGTCATTAATAACGTTGAATGTATAAAAATGATTTTTTTTTTGTGAAAACGACGCAAAGCGGAGGGGAGTGACGTCACTCCGTTTCAAGGTTTGACAGTTAGTATCCCAACTGCTATGCGCGGGAAGTAAGGGGAAGGGGACAGGTGGCGTCCCACCCGCGTTTTTTTCAGTTTCGCCACCACGCGCTTCTTTGACCAAAGGCGGGACCCACATAACCCCCTCGTAATTTCTCGACAGTGAATTAAAACTGTAAGTCCGTTTTCATACTGAACAATTTGTCAACAAATAAAATTAATTCACTATTCAATAATTTTAACTCCAACCCTCGTATTTTTAATTCCAAGAATTTAATATGACGGATAGTTTTATTTCCAATTATCACCACACGTATAAAATAACATTCAACGTTTAGTGTTCCTGAAATGGATTTATTTTTAATAGATGGAGATTGTGCAGTGCCATACAATACCGAATATAATCCTAATTAATAATTTTTTAATAACCCATTTGCCATTTTAGTACGTATTTCATTTAAAGGGTTGACCAATACCCCAAAAAACAACAATCCGGACGGCCAAATTAAAAAAAGAAAACCCCATAGATTGCTTCACTTGTAACTCCATAGACAGTCACCTTCATGAACCTCCGGCGAGTCATCACGCGGCGGCGCGTGCATTCTCGGGGGACTCATCAGCATCCCCTCCGCCATATCCGTCAGCAAATTCGGCATATTCAGCAACTCTTCCTCGTCCACGAACTCCGTAGAACCCGGTTCCTCGCTCTCGGGTCGACCCGGTTCGTCTGAAACCGGGTCTGGGTCCGGCCTCGGATCCGGGTTCTGGTTCTGGTTCTTAATCTCCGCGGCTCTAGCCGCAGCGTCGCGAATGTCTGCGGCCGAGGTGGAAGCAGGTGTCGGATAGGACGAAGCCAGGCCGGGGAAGTTGAGGGAGGCATCCACCGAGCCCTTGAGGGCAAGAGCCGCCACGTCATAGGCCGCGCCCGCCATCTCGGCCACGGTATATATATATATATAGGATCAATCCCGTTGTCGTTTTCATTTACGTTCAAATTCTTTTATTTTTCATGTTGAATCGAATATTTCGTTAAATCCTCGTTTTGAGATGGAAGCTATGAAAGCGAGTTAACGTGCGAAATAAATTATCTATATTTGATAAATCTGATAGGTAGAAACATGCAATTGATGCCGACATAAATATATAAACAAATCCTCTCAATCATTAAATCATCCCCATTCTAATGCATGGTCAAGACTCACCTTATATTCCAAGTGTCTCAATGGTTAGAAATATTTAATCGAATTCTATTAAAAAAAATATATACGATTCAAAGTTAATTCAATTCAAATATTTTTTATTTCATGATTTTAAAGTTTTTTAACTCTAAGAATTTCAATTTATTAGGTCCCTTAATTCATTTTAGTTCAAAACTTTTCATTTCACATACTTAAGTCTATAAACCACATAAATTACATTGATTCCTTAATTTTCTATAATATACGATTCGAAAGGTCATTAATAACGTTGAATGTATAAAAATGATTTTTTTTTTGTGAAAACGACGCAAAGCGGAGGGGAGTGACGTCACTCCGTTTCAAGGTTTGACAGTTAGTATCCCAACTGCTATGCGCGGGAAGTAAGGGGAAGGGGACAGGTGGCGTCCCACCCGCGTTTTTTTCAGTTTCGCCACCACGCGCTTCTTTGACCAAAGGCGGGACCCACATAACCCCCTCGTAATTTCTCGACAGTGAATTAAAACTGTAAGTCCGTTTTCATACTGAACAATTTGTCAACAAATAAAATTAATTCACTATTCAATAATTTTAACTCCAACCCTCGTATTTTTAATTCCAAGAATTTAATATGACGGATAGTTTTATTTCCAATTATCACCACACGTATAAAATAACATTCAACGTTTAGTGTTCCTGAAATGGATTTATTTTTAATAGATGGAGATTGTGCAGTGCCATACAATACCGAATATAATCCTAATTAATAATTTTTTAATAACCCATTTGCCATTTTAGTACGTATTTCATTTAAAGGGTTGACCAATACCCCAAAAAACAACAATCCGGACGGCCAAATTAAAAAAAGAAAACCCCATAGATTGCTTCACTTGTAACTCCATAGACAGTCACCTTCATGAACCTCCGGCGAGTCATCACGCGGCGGCGCGTGCATTCTCGGGGGACTCATCAGCATCCCCTCCGCCATATCCGTCAGCAAATTCGGCATATTCAGCAACTCTTCCTCGTCCACGAACTCCGTAGAACCCGGTTCCTCGCTCTCGGGTCGACCCGGTTCGTCTGAAACCGGGTCTGGGTCCGGCCTCGGATCCGGGTTCTGGTTCTGGTTCTTAATCTCCGCGGCTCTAGCCGCAGCGTCGCGAATGTCTGCGGCCGAGGTGGAAGCAGGTGTCGGATAGGACGAAGCCAGGCCGGGGAAGTTGAGGGAGGCATCCACCGAGCCCTTGAGGGCAAGAGCCGCCACGTCATAGGCCGCGCCCGCCATCTCGGCCATGGGGTACGTCCCGAGCCATATGCGAGTCGTTTTGCGTGGCTCCCGGATCTCGGAGACCCATTTTCCATTCCGCAAGCGTATTCCCCTATAGACAGGATGCCTGCCTGAAACGCTCGCTCCCCCTCGGAGAAGACGGTGAAGCCGGAGACTCTCCCGGAGTCAGAGGCTCCGGCAACGATGCTGAACCCTGAAACGGTGTCGTATTCGTCGTGCGATGCTCTGTCGTTTCGGGTTTAGGATTCTTGGCATCGTCGGTCGGAGGATTGTTGCTCTCCATGAACTTCAAGAACCGAGTTCTTGAGTTCTGTTCTGTTGTTTATCAGTGGATTGTGTGTTTGCGGATATAATATATATATATATATATATGAATCCGTGGGAAATTCGCAATAGATACTTTTTCATGGGAAATAAATTACTGTTCCTGGGGTTGATTTAATGCAATTTGTCATTTCAAAAACGCATTATCCAGAAAATGAATTATTTTGTAAAAATTATTTATATATTATATATATATATATTATATAATGGAGTCGAATCTCTTTTTCGACGTCGACCAACGGACATTGGATTAGAAATATTTTAAACCCATTTGTTTAACACATGCCTGGATCTGACAAAGTGTTTTTAGCGAATTATTTGGAATATTATCATTCGATTACGATACATTAATTGATCGTATAATAATATTATCTGATAAATATAATATAATTTGCCAATGATTTTTTTAGTCAAGAAGGGGAAAAAAGGTGAGGCTGCGGATCACACACGTACTTAGCCCGATTATTTTAAAATAAAGATTCTAAAGATAATAATGAGCTGGTCGTAATGAATAATAATTAATAATATGGACCCCCCCCCCTATATTTGGCCTTTTTGAGGGTTATAAGAAATTAATTAAACAAAATCAATTTGAAGCCAAGAAGAAAAAAACAAATAAGAAGATATAATTTTACGAGTCATGTTTACCACTAACCAAAGTCAGCCTGGCTGGTCATAAAATGAAATGATTCACACACGATATGATACTTCAATATATATATATATACATATATATTAATGCATATCATATAGTTCGTTGGGATTCATGAAAATATTGTACCATCGTATCAATTACACAAAATCAAGGAATAGAAAAATAATTACGAATATTTTCATATGAGATCAATTTTCAGAGGACCCCTTTGTCACGGTACCTTAAACATAACCAGCCTTGGACAACTTCCGGTCCTTTTGGTCGACATGTTTTTGTTTCTAACTTGGCCTCTTCACATGCAATATTTCTCTCTGTGTTTGTTTTTTTCTTATTTATTTTCTTTTGTCACCTTATGCTAGTATTTTTGCAGTCCCCAATTAATTAATTATAATAATTACTGTTTAATTAGTATTTTTTTAATCTTAAATATATTAGTGTCGCGTGATTCCACTGTTCTTCACTTACCTCCGCATCATATTTGTTGTATATATGGAATTATTATATGATTTAGAGTTCTTAGCTTCACAAACATAGTAAATGATACGTTTGTAACATTTTTTTCAAAACGTAAAAAAAAGCTATTTTAAAAATTTTAAGGATTTCGTATATATATATTTTTAAATTATAACAAAAAAAACTCTTTAAAAATACATAATTCATCTAAAGTATGTTTTAATTTGAAATATTATCGTTTTATTTCATAGACACGTTTAAACTTTTTATCGTTATATAATTATATAGATTATGGTGAATTCATGAAAACGGAGAAAAACTATGCGAGGAATTATGGTAAATGAAATATTCGAAATAAATGGTTGATCTCCTCTCTCTAACGTGGCCTTTTCGTTATCCGAAAAAAAAAAATAAAACAAAAAATAAATAAATTATCACCAATTGAAAATCTCTGAAGAAACAATCTCCTCTGCTTCTTAAAATTTCCATAACCTCTCTGTCCATCCATGAAACTCTTCCTTAATCCATCACCAAGCTTCCCTCTCTCTCCCTCAAATCCCAACGATTTCAGACTCAAGCTTCTCAGACCCATCTGCGCCTCCGTTCGACCTCCGCCGCCGGACTTCGACTTCCGGTCGGAGATCGCATCGGAGTCACGCGCCGCCATCGCAGTTGCTTTCCCGGAGCTTCTCGACCTCGCCGACAATGGCACCCTTGTCCTGGTCGAGAAGCGCCGGTTCGGTCCGGTTCCGGCTTGGCGGAAGGATTTTGTCGAACCGGAGGCGATTTGGCTAGTGGGCACCGACCATATCTCGCCGGAGTCCGCTGCCGACGTCGAACGCGTAGTCCGCACGGTAAAACCAGACAATGTCGTGGTCGAGCTCTGTCGAAGCAGGAAAGTCCAGTTTTTTCTCTCTCAGTATTTGAGTACAATAACATCGAGAGGTTGAGATTTTAGTTCTGCCCGTCGGATAAAGTCGAGATCTTTATCAATTTCAGGACAAAAGATTCGATTTTGTTTGTTGCACCGAAAGACAATTAGGGTTACTGAAAAGCCATCCAACCCTATATCTAGAACTTTCAATGACAAACAATACCCAATTCTTCAAAGGGCTCTGCCATGAGAATGAATTCCACTAGACTTTAAGCATATAAGAGTGACAGGGAATGTTGCAGAGCTGGGATTATGTACACTTCCAGTGTCGGAGAAGTCGACCAAAACATGCGGTCCGGAATGTTCTCCTTGACCGGAACCGGTTTTCTCGGTGCAGTTGGCCGGAGCTTAAACTTGGGTAAGAAAAGGGTTCGATCAATGTCATGTTTCTCTATCACAATTTCGGAATCATTCTCTGGATCTTTAGGAGGCGAAACCGCGCTGGCATTGCGGCTTCTGTTGGCATTATTCTCTTCCAAACTATCTTCCGATTCTGGCCGCCCTTTTGGCGATGAGGTACTCGAGAAATCAATCAAAGATATCGGTCCAATGCTTGTGTTTAGGCATTGATAACCATATGTATGTGATTCGGTGTCTGGCATTTCTTGTTGCAGTTTCGTGCTGCTCGGAAGGCGTCTGAGGAAGTCGGTGCACAGCTTGTTCTGGGAGACAGACCGATCGAAATAACAGTAAGTTGTCTTGTGTCGATTTCATTACATTAGTTAAACAGTATTAAAAATGGTGGACATGACTGCAGCTCCAGAGGGCTTGGAACTCTCTCAAGTGGTCAGAGAAGCTTAATCTGGTTGCAGCTGTGACTCGGGGAATCGCATCTTCATCCAATTTATCCCAAACCGAGCTTAAGGTTGGTTTCTTTCCCGATTTCCGATTCTTCAAACTCTAGAAATTTCCGAGGAGGGCATTGGCTATTACGTTTTCGCAGGAGCAGAGAACCGAAGAAAGCAACAGCAGTTTTCAGCTCTACGAACGGCTAAGTTTCTCATACCCGTCGCTCTTACAGCCTCTGATACACGAAAGAGACACCGTAAGTGATCGATCTATATCTCTCTCGCCCTTTCTTCTATCCGATAATAGATTAAGGAACGTGTATATATACCTCAGTATATTGCGTGGTCGCTGAAGAGAAGCAAGGCGGTGAACAGATCAAAGAAAGTGGTGGGTGTGATCGGAAAAGGGCATTTGAACGGCGTAATCTACGCGTTGGAAACGGATTTAGGCGATCTCCGGTTCAGGGATCTGGTCGGGAGAAACACTTCCGACGACGACGGTTGGCTTCAACGAGCGGCCAAGAGCCTGGCCAGAGACACCGTGTTAGGGTTCTTGCTGTGGGAATTGTATCAACTTTACATTAGGTTTATGACCAGCCAAAACCCTCCTTGATTACATCCTAATGGTAACATTCCTCTTCTTCTTGCCAATGGGTTTGTACAAAAATGGGAAACAATCAGGTTTCCATAAAACTCTCCTCAATTCCAGACATGAACAAGAAGTAGCCGTTGGGAAAATCTGTCTTAAGGAAATAACTATTTGTATATATGCACGTAATCCATCTTTAGATTTTTTTAATCTCTAAAGATTCTGGAAAATCTTTGCCTCTGCCTCTTTCTAAATCTTCCATGAATTCTACCAAAAGATGTGCTGCATGCAAGTATCTAAGAAGAAGATGCCCTCAAGATTGCATTTTCTCACCTTATTTCCCTCCAAACAATCCTGAAAAATTCTCACTTGTCCATAAAATTTATGGCGCAAGCAATGTCGCCAAGATGCTTCAGGTTATTATTATTTCATTTTAATATATACATATATATATATATATATATATTCTAAAACATGTATTACATAAGTTATTAAATTAATTATCAAAAAGAGTTTCTAAACAAGTTTTGGATTGTATAATTTGATCAGGAACTTCCACGTTATGCAAGAGCCGAAGCGGCAGAAGCTTTGTATTTCGAGGCACAATGTAGAGCGGAAGATCCGGTTTACGGTTGTGTTGGGATTATATCATTATTACAAAACCAGATTCAGATAACCGAAAACCTCTTAACCAAAACCAGGGTTGAGATTGCTCTTCTTCAAACCGACACCACTAAACCGGATTCCACTCTCATGTAATCGCACCGGTTAACTTCTATTCCATGGACCCTCTACCTATCAGATATAATAAAGTTGCTATGATATATTATTTGTTATGATGTGATCACATCAGTGTATACTAAAATAATAAATAATAACATTTCTCGTTCTATTCTATCAGGTTTTCCTTTATTTTTTTTAGTCCAAAACGAATGTAGTAAAAAAAAGTAAATAGGAGTATATAATATATCAATGGACAAAAATTACGACAAAATATTTCATTTTTGTGTTGTGCGTTTAAATATAAAATTTTAATTCTTCTTCGTAACAAAATTATAGTTTTACGTCCTCATTTTGTTTTTGGTTTGCCGCTGATAAAAATATTTCCATATTTTTGCATATGAATTTCATCTTATAGATATTTCATAGTGATTGTCATCTTTACTTACACTTTCTACTTTTTGCTTTTTTCACTTTCCATCTTGAATATGTAAATGCAATTCTCAATATTTATAGAAATAAATCAAATCAAATATGATCCGGTATTTTGGATAGTTCAAATGTCTGCGATTTTTATTGTGTATCAAGGGTTTCGATTTTATTTTAATTTCTACGGTTAATATGAGTTAAAATTGATCATTAGATCATAATAAAAATTAAGCAATATGTGTAAATTCATGATAACATTAAAAATTAATCATGTACCTTAGTTAAAACTCAAAAAAAGTATTTTAAATCTCTCAAGGCCCATAAGGAAACCCTTTTTTAGTATGTCACATTTTTCCGGCCCATAAAAGGCCCACGTTTAAGTAGGCCCAAATGCAAATCGCCTTTAAAGATGCGGGGTTGATTTTTAAATAAGTCGAAACTAATGGGCTATTTTGGATATATCTTTACAAAAATCGAATACGAAATAATAAAAACTAAAAATTTATTTTAAAAATAAGTATTTTTTTTCTTTTTGACCTCTTGGGGGGCGAATCTGCAGGAGAATTTTCTAACTTCTTTCAAGGAAAACGGTAAAATTTTGGGATTATTTATTTGTTTTCGTTGATGATTTGTTCCAAACTCTAAGCTTCTCGCATGTGATTATGTGGTTACTTTTGGTCAAGATCTTGAATTTTGCAAGTTTTGATTTTTATGGATTCGTAATTTCGGGTGGAAATTATATATGATTTTGTATGATACAATTGTAAATTCGTATTCAAAATCACGTGTGAATCATTGGAGGGTCTTTTGTAGTTGTGGTGGGAGTTTCTCTTTAAGACTGTTCTATGTTGTAGTTTTGTTCCGAATGTTAGTTAGTTCAATTGGCATGTTCTTTTTTTTAGTAAGTAAACTCTCTCTTTGAACCCATTAGTTTGAATGCTTAACTTGTACGGATTTGCAGATACTTTGGTACGAATTTTCTTGTTTTGTTTACGTGTGGCTTCATGCTTGGAGCTGATGTTCTGTCCCTTTTTATATATATATATACTTAAAAACAAAAAACCAAATAAAAAAAAAGTTGAGATGTGCCAATCCAGAGGTTTAAAAGGCCTGTTTGCATATATATATATATATATAATAATGGTAAAGAGAGGCAATAAATAAAACATATTTTCTGTCTAGAAGAGGAAAGGAAAAAAATATTAAACCTCAAAAGTTGGTTTAGATAATTTTATATTTTCGTCTTTTAACTAGAGAACAAGATTCAAATCCTACTCTGGAAATGGAGTAATCTTTGACAACAATGTTGTACCGCTTCTTGATGAATATACAAGATTTAAAGGTGTTGGTTTATAGTTTAACGTCGTTCAAGACATCCCGTAGTCAATTAAAAAAGAATATATTAAATAAATAAATATTAATATAACATTAGGAGAATGGGAAAGCAAAAGACCGCTTTTTTGGAAGGAGCATGTGGAAGTTAGGGAAAAAGAGTTTGAGGGAAAGACAAGAGTGAAGATTTCTACGGTAATTTGATAGAATCGAACATGAAATAAGTTAGAAGCTTTTGTGAAGCGAAACAAAGAAAGAACACGTTTTATTTCTTCGGTATATTTCATAAGAGAGTTTTTACATATTATATAGAGATGATACATTTATAAGAAGGGACGAAATTATGGCTACAGAATCAGAAAACTAAGGAAAGAAATAATGTTTAGACAAATAAAGCAATATATGAGTGTAGTTGCCTTGGTTAACGTAAACTCAATCTGCCCAAGAATATTGTTGAATCTTGGTGCATATTTTTGGTAAATTAACCTCCTGTAATGCATCTTCAAACGATCATATGTTCCCTTATCTATTCAAGTTCTGCTCTATGTGCTTGCCACGTGTGGAATACGTTCATCTGTTTGGCAGCAATTCCAAATAAGGTAATTAGTCAGTGTCTCTTGGTCCTTCGTGTGCTATCTCTCGGCTATTGTAATGCATCTTCAAACGGTCATATGTTCCCTTATCTATTCAAGTTCTGCTCTATGTGCTTGCCACGTGTGGAATACGTTCATCTGTTTGGCAGCAATTCCAAATAAGGTAATTAGTCAGTGTCTCTTGGTCCTTCGTGTGCTATCTCTCGGCTATGTGTGTGTGTCTCGGTTCGTCCAAGCTTCGTCACCTTGCTTGTCCGAACTATGTCATATGTTTGTTCTTCAACCGTATGTGTATCATCGTCTCTTTGTCCTTTAACAAAGAGTAGGGTTTTTAGATAATGGTCCGTTCATACAGATGTAATGTAAGAGAGATAGAAACACAAGGGGGGCATGACATATAATCAATTGTGGTATATATATATATATATATATCAGTCATGATGGATATTGGTGAATCAGTTTTGGAATAATTCTATATATGAATGAGCTAATTAATCAAAATGTGAATGGACAGAGGTTTTGATCGATCAATGGAGTTCACTATCATCAAGTTCCAAGTTATACAAAGAGATATGCATGGCTTTGGATGACGTCGGAACGTACGTATGCGCATCGTTCTTTCGTCTCCAACTTCCCGTTTTCTCCCTCTTTTGTTGCTTTTCCTCCAACAATATCGCTTCCCTCTTTTGACTTTTTTCTCTTCTAAAACGTCTACACTTGTACATACATGTATGCATATATATTGTATGTATGTATATGTATATGATGTAAAGAGAGAGTGAATGGCTTTTCTTATGGGTTTGATGATGAAGATGTTTGTCTTGTCTTTTTCTTAGTAGAAAGGAAATCTTAGGGTGTGTTCTTGATTATCGAAGTTGTGACGCATCTACTATATATGATGAGCATATCGTTTTACATGCTTTTGATATATTTTAATTGGGATTTTAATCCAAAGAAATGGGTTTATATTATTCTAAGGTCCGCTATGAATGTAGGTCAAAGAAAACGAAATGATGAATATAAGGAGATATAGGTATCGTATGTGTGAACAAGCCGAAAGGGAAAAAACGAAAGCATCACAAAAACCGTGAAAAGCATGGTGAAAATCATACAAGAATTTCTCTCAATGTGCGATATATCCAATGCATTTAGCAAATGCTAATCTTTTCATAAGACGTCTACATGCTTTTCAAATTGTTTCTAATTTGGCGAATATTTTAAATATTTATTATCACATTTGAATTTATTCGTAATCATCTGATAATTAAATTTTGCGTCCCAATTTCACCAACTGAACTACATAAGTTGGATACCTCCATCTCAAACTTGTTGGGTTAAGAAGGAAACCAGGTAGATCAATTTCCGTATTCAGTCGAACCCGAAGCAATGATATCAACCCTAATTAAGACTTTTTATAACTTTGATCAAAAGCATTTTTGCACAAGTACATAAAAAGGGCAAACCAGTGTGCAATATATATATATATATATATATATATATATATATACACGTTTAGCCATGACTCATGGGTCGTCATAATTTTCGACGTATTAGTCGTATAGATCTTAGAATTCTTTATAAAAATATTAGAAAAACTCTTGTACGAACTAAAACGAGTTGGAGAATGCCTGCAAAATGCATGCACCAATGAAAATCAAATTTATATTCAACATAGTATATGTTAGAACTCGACTTGGCAACCGGATTGGAATATTTCGATTGACGTATTGACCCATACACTAACGTTAATTAATTTCTCCACAAGATAACATTTCTCATCGCAAAAGGCGGTGCTTTGGGTCATTATACAAATCTATCGTGACATTTAGGTATTATTGTTATTATATTTCTATTAGATATATCCCATTATTATAGAAAACGAAATTAAACGTCAGCTCCATTTTTCTAAGAAACTCTTTAAAATAATAAACTTTTCTTTAAAAATAATATTTGTATAGTATCTTGATGTATTGTCGAGGATAAAAACAACAGTATAATCAAATATTGTCGAGGATAAAATTGAGATCGATTAAATAAAAAAATGGAGACGAGGAATCAAACAGGAAAAATAAATCTGTCGTCTCCAAACAACTTAAATCTATATGGTTTTCATCCAATAAAATTTTAGAAAAAAATAATGACTAATGAAGGATAAAACGAAATATTATAGATAACACCAGATAAATTTTTTTTTTTTGAAAAACTTATATCAAAACAAAAAAAAATATTAGTGAATGTTTCTTACATAATTTTCACATACATAATATATTTAGAGAATGGTTTACACCCATATGTTTTGTATGTCCCAATCAAGACAAGGAGTTGTGTCACACCCAACAAAAAAATATATATAGGAAAATAAAAATGTTAAAATAATAAAATCTCAAAACTGAGAGGTGGGGTTCGCACTTTGCTGACTCATCCACTCGTCTTCACCAATTCTGTCCACTTGGCAGCTTCTGGTTGACTATTCTTCAGTTTGTGGGATCCACGTAAGTGTAAACGTAAGACTTTGAATATATATATATATATATATAATTAGCACTTTTTCTATTTTAGGTTCAAAACCCATTTCAAAATTTGACCCATTCCTCAATGGTTTTTGTAATTATACTAATTTTTCATGCTGAAAATCACATCACGCTTTGGTTATATGGACTGATTATTATATCGCCTAAAATATGATCAATTAAAGTAGAAATTTTCTGTTTGATATGGCAAAGTCTTGCCATTGGAATAATAAAAAATTATTTTTTTCTAGAAATTTTCAACCGTATGTTGTATTTTAAATATATAAATAATTAGGGATTTGTGCGTGTAAAGCGTGTCCTGCTTATAATAGTCTTTTGGCATTATTAATCTTAAATACATGCAAATTGATTCCACCTAATCAAAATATTTTATTTCGGGTAATGGTTTTAGATTTGCATTTTTCTGGTTTGTTTTATTCCATAGACCATAACTCGAGATTATGATCTTTAATTTAACTTCTCATTTCTCATTGCGCACACAAACAAATTTAAATTGTAGTTATGAAAATCTTCAAACAAAAAAAAATGTTATTTGTCGGAGAAACATAATAGTTTAATTCCATTTAGATTTTTATAATATTTATAGAATCTAAGTATTCTATTCCTAACTTTATAGATAAAAGTTTAGTTATTTGAATAAAAATAAAAGATAAAACCACTCTATATGTTTAGATGTAAATACTATATATATATATATGTGTGTGTATTGGATTCCACCGTCGAGTAACATAGATTCAATATTTAGATATTTCCTTAAACGGCAAGGCATGCATATGTAAATATATCTATATATATATATATATATATGTGTGTGTGTGTGTGTGTGTACGACTCTCTTTGGCCACTCCTATATAAAGGCCACTGCCATGGCATTCTTCACACCTCCAAAACCTCTCTCTCTCTCTCTCTCGATTTCGAAAGAGAAAAGCAATAAAATGTGCAATCCAAAGCAATCGAGAGAAGGACAAAGCCTCAAGAAACAATTCATAGTCCCCAAGAGCTCACAAAAACAACAAAGAACAGAGGAATACTCCTTTTCTTCTTCTGTTCGAAATGGTCTGGCTGCAGAGACGAAAGAAGCCATCGCCATTGCGAAGATATCGGTCCCAATGGTCCTAACGGGTCTTCTCCTCTACTCTCGCTCCTTAGTCTCCACTCTCTTCCTCGGCCGTCTCGGCGATTCCTCCCTCGCCGGCGGCTCCCTCGCCCTCGGCTTCGCCAACATCACCGGTTATTCTGTTCTCTCTGGCTTAGCAATGGGCATGGAACCCATCTGCTCCCAAGCTTTTGGCGCCAAACGGCATAGCCTCCTCGACCTCGCTCTCCGTCGAACCATCCTTCTCCTCCTCCTCTCCTCTCTTCCCATCTCCCTCCTCTGGTTCAACATAAAGACCATCCTCGAGTTCTTGGGCCAAGACGCTGCTCTTGCCTCCGAGGCTCGATCGTTTCTCCTGTACTCGATCCCTGACCTGTTGGCTCAGTCTTTCCTGCACCCTTTGAGGGCTTATCTCCGGACTCAAGCCAAGACTCTTCCTTTATCTGTCTGCGCGGCTGTGGCCGTCGTCCTTCACGTGCCCATCAACTTCTTCCTCGTCTCGTACCTCGAACTGGGCAGCAAAGGCGTCGCCTTGGGCGGCGTATGGACAAACTTCAACATCGTCGCGTTGATTCTCCTCTACGTTATGTTCTCCGACATCCGAAAGGAGGAGACTTTCCGAGGTTTTTCCGATGATTCTTTCGCGGGTTGGACAAAGCTTCTAAGCCTGGCAATACCCAGTTGCGTATCGGTCTGCCTCGAGTGGTGGTGCTACGAGATAATGATATTGCTATGTGGGTTTCTCCTAAACCCTAAATCCACCATTGCTTCAATGGGGATTCTCATCCAAACGACCTCTCTCATCTACATTTTCCCGTCTTCTCTGAGCTTCGGCGTCTCCACTCGCGTCGGGAACGAGCTGGGCTCTGACGAGCCTGAAAAGGCGAAAAGATCCGCTATTGTCGGCATAGGAATAAGCATCATCCTCGGCTTCACTGCCTTATCGTTCACTTTAACGGTGAGGAACATCTGGGCAAGGCTGTTCACGGACGACGAAGAGATAATCGCGTTGACTTCAATGGCGCTTCCGATAATCGGACTGTGCGAGCTAGGGAACTGCCCTCAGACGACGGGATGCGGCGTCTTGAGGGGCTCGGCCAGGCCAAAGGTCGGAGCCAACGTTAACCTGGCAGCGTTCTACGGGGTGGGGATGCCGGTGGCGGCGGCGTTGGCATTCGGGTTAGGGTTCGGATTCAGGGGACTCTGGCTGGGGATGCTGGCCGCGCAGGGCTCATGCGTGGTGGCCATGATGGTCGTCACGTGCCGTACGGATTGGCACGTGGAGGCCGAGAGGTCGAAGGAGCTCACGGCCTCTGCTAATGGCGGAGATGTGGAGGAGGGACTGCTGGAGAAAGATTCTTCTTTTGGACCCTATTGAGTGTTTATTTTCTCTGTTTGATTTTTTAATTTTAATTTTTCGGGTTGGAATTTTGGGGAATTATTGTAAATATGAGAGAGAGTGAATTTTAATCAGAGGAATTTGGTGTTAGCAGCACTAATGCATGTGGTGCAAGTGTAACATAAATGGAAGGGAAAGTTCCAAGTCCACTGATATTTCATTATTAGTTTAGTTTATTACATTTTTATTTTAATTTTCTCTACAAATTCTGTTGATGGGAGTGGAAAAATCATGAAATGTCCTCGAATTCTAAATAAACACTGATCATTATAAGCTACTATATCTCAAACGTTTTGGACCCTATGCATTTATAAAATTTAATTAATAAAAATTATAATTTATAAATATAAATTATTTAATAATATAAAAATTTATAATTTTATATAATAAAATATTAATTTTAAAATTATGTAATGATTTCAAAAAATTATTAGTTTATATCATAAAAATTATTTAATGATAATAAATAAATTATGTAATATTTTTGCATATTAATGATAATAATTATTTTTTCAAATGAATCCATAAATTTAGAGTTATTATTATAAATATAATATATTTTAAAATTTTAAAATAAATTTTTTAATTTATTATTAATATATTTTAGGAATTATGAAATTAATTTAAAGATTAAATTTAAAATTGAATTATTAATAAGTTTATGATAAAAATAAATTTTGAAGTGTACTTAATTTTATATATTTTTTTAATTTTTTTTATTAATAATAATGTATAATAATTATATCTAAAATATTTTGTTGGAGTAATACTTTTCAAAAGAAATAATAAATGTAAAAATATTTTCTAAATTGAATTTTTCCTTTATTGTTTTTATAATTATGTATAATTAATACTAATATGAATTAAAATTTTAAAAGTAATCCTAAAATTTATGTGACCCTATTCCACAGTTCTAGTTGCACTTGTACTTGTTATTTAGTATGATTTTTTTTTTTTATAACGTTCTCGCATTTAAACGATTTTTCAATTTGTTTTAAGAGAAATGCCATGCATAATATTATATGCCATAATTTTATATAAAATTCCATCGATGATCGATATAAAAATTTGTTGGTACAAGTATAACGTGTTGCTTATATCGGTGGCATCGTAATTTATGTTCCATTGATTTTTTTTTTCTTTTGCCTTTGAAACATAGCCAATGTGTTTAGGGTTTATATAAGTGGAGCATACATACCAACCATATATATACATTAGAAAATTTCTATACCTTAAATATTGGAGAATATTGATAAACAAAATCATGTATATATAATATATGATCTTGCAATGGCATGTTTCATTCAATAAAAAGGACATTATATTTTTATTAAAAAAAATAAAACTGGAGAGTTAATTTCATTCACAGACATATGTTCATTTAAAAATCGAAATCTATACGATTTAAGTGTCGATCCACCTCTGGTCTCAGGAGAATCTCAAAGTACACTAACCACATCTCGTTTTTATTAAAATCGGTATCATAATAAAGATATATGTAAGGGACAAGGGATTTGTACTAGATTGAGATTCGTACCCATTTAAAAGGTTATTAATAAGATTTATTTATTGGTAAAATAATTTATTTATTTATTTAGAAGAATCATATAAGAAAGATAGGCAGGAAGCACAATGCCTGAAATCACTCATAATATAATATAGTAGTAATAGTTAAACAAAAATGCAAATTGACTTCTTAAATTCCAATATTTACGATTGTGCAATCTTCCTAGGATCGGAGAGCCAATAATTTAATGTTCTATGAAAATGTATGAAATGGTTGGCTAACTTTGGTGGCCAATAATAATGTTTATTAAAATACATATAATATGATCTAAAAACTGAATTATATAATATTTTTAAAACCAAATTCAACGCAACCTTAATTAAATATAAAGAATAAAAATAATTTTTAAAATAAATATTTTAAATAATTATTGAATTATAATTAAACCTGAATATAATGTAAATTTTGTAAAATTTTAAAATTCAAACTTAAAATAATCAACGATTGCCCCTAATTGTATGCGGAAAATGCAAGTTTTCTTTTTCACGGATGACGAGGAACTGATTTATTAATAAGTCTATGACCATACACAAGTACATAGTGTAGTACGTATGTGTACATGTGTATGCATGTGGACATGCCTATACACATCGGTGTATGTATAGACGATCAGTAACATTGTGATATTAATTGATATTATTTATAGTCCAACGAATCAATATATGGATCCTCTAATTCAATGTTATTCAGCAGTTAATAATCATTACCGGAAATAATTGGGACCTTATAATAATTAATTATATTTAATATTTATGTGACTTTTAATCGTTCTGATAATTTGGGGGTTAAATGCTATTTTTAAACTGTAATAATTTTGAATGGTGCAACAATAATTCGGGACTGATATATATATATATATAGACAGATATGCACACACACAGACACACTTGAATTTGATTAATTAAGCTGTAATCACATGCATTTATTATACCTTAATTGCAGGCATCAGAGGGATTTGTCTCCTTAAACAGGGACTGAGGAACAAAAGAAACATAAAATAAATAAATTTAAACTGATCATTTGACTAATTAATCAAGTGATTTTGTTGTTGTATTGGCTTTAGAGCATCCCGAAAAGCCTGAATCTAAAACGTAACCATTTTACGAATTTGTTTAAGCGAATATGATTTTTATGGTCCTCGAACCAAATTAAATTTAAAATATTGTCTTCGGGATCTTATTGTGCAAATATAAAATAAGATACTCATGATTTATTTTTACTAATATTAAATACTAATAATGACATATTTATGTGATAAAAGTATCGTATCGAAATCAGAATCGAATCGAACCGAATAATATACGATACAATGATCGCAATTGTTTGAAGGAGACAAGACAGCGGAACAGAAACAGAGATTGTTCAGTTTGGTCCTTTGCCGAGCGTCAATGGTCGCAAGTGTTCAACTCTCCATATTTCAATTCTCATAAACATGAAAGGTCGCATTTCTCCCTTCCTTCATGCGAGGGGGGCAGCCCAAACATTTTAAAGTTGAGCTCAAGTAATAAAATTGTTTTGACTATGGTTACGCATTTGGTTCGGGGTCCGGATTTCAAATTTTTTCATAATTTTGTACATGCGGATACGATGGACAAATATGTCGCCGCGCGCGCATTGCATGCATGCAAACCAAACCATGCACGTTAGACGTTGTTTAGACGTTTGAATGATCATACATATATATATATATATATCGGAAATGATATATATATATACATGTTCCATTTAGTTATTGTACATTACCCATTACTAAAACAAAACTAAGAAAATGATCAAGTACGGTATAGTCTGTACATAATACATGCACAAATACATACATCAACAAAAATCTCAAAGCATGTTTTTATTCCTTCTTCAAATCCAAATGTGGGGAGGAATATTCATCCGAACTTCTCCGGTTTTCTACGAGATATAGTTGAACTAAAGCTGTTTGCATTTGAAATTCCTTAATATACATGTGTTTGTAATAATAATAATGATGACGATGATGATGATGACGATGATGATGATGACGATGATGATAATAATAATAGCTTGTAGTCTAGATGCATCATGCATCACTCCACTGCCCACGGATGCACTAAGAAAGTCTTCGTACCTATCTTATATGGTGATTTCAAACCTATAAAATATGGATCTAGTAACATACAATAATCATATATATATAAGAGACAAGTTCGCGTGACTATAAATAAAAGACAAAAAACGTTATTTTATTTATCACACATCTTGAGAAATATATAATTTATTTTTAATACTTTTATATGTTGTATAATACAAAACTTTATCGTTCAAAAATTTAACGCTTGAATCTCTGCTCTATGGAGAGCATGATTCATGCTCGTGGTTCTTTTACAAGCATGCATCATACATACATAATATATATATATATATATATATATATATAAATCACGAGCGTGAGCTACGATGTCGTTAGATGGTTACAGCTTTGTTCATTTAATACCATAGACATTAAGAATTCATTAAAATTCAACAAAAGAAACAAAAAAAGGCGAACTAGTTTTAATACCAAGTTGATAAACGTGTAATATTCAAAATCGACCAGAACAAGTCTTCTATTTTTATTTTTATTTTTCGGCGTATTAAATTTAAAAAAAAACCTTTTCAATTTCAAACCGCATAATCTTCCTTGGAACCGTTTTGGGATTTAGACAAGAAGATCTACTTCGGAACTTGTATCATAACAAGTGGAACATTAAAGTACATCTTGGTGACAGTTTGCTTCAGTCCCCCCCACTTGCATGGCCATGGAAATTGGATCAATAACATGATTCAATCCGAAGTATTCTTCACAAGAAAAACCGACAATGGTCGGTGGTCGATTCCTGAAAGAAGGACCAAGTTCATGCCACTGTGAATAACGGACGAAATCTTGCGAATTTTCGGATTCTTGCAGTTAAAACCGATAATTTACAACGGATTAATCGAGCTGGCGGGAAAAAAGATTGCAATATATAAATATATACATGTGTGTGTGTTTGTGATAAAAACAAAATTCGAGCGGTTTGGTCGGTTTTCAATTTGTTTTAAGAGAAATGCCATGCATAATATTATATGCCATAATTTTATATAAAATTCCATCGATGATCGATATATAATATATGATCTTGCAATGGCATGTTTCATTCAATAAAAAGGACATTATATTTTTATTAAAAAAAATAAAACTGGAGAGTTAATTTCATTCACAGACATATGTTCATTTAAAAATCGAAATCTATACGATTTAAGTGTCGATCCACCTCTGGTCTCAGGAGAATCTCAAAGTACACTAACCACATCTCGTTTTTATTAAAATCGGTATCATAATAAAGATATATGTAAGGGACAAGGGATTTGTACTAGATTGAGATTCGTACCCATTTAAAAGGTTATTAATAAGATTTATTTATTGGTAAAATAATTTATTTATTTATTTAGAAGAATCATATAAGAAAGATAGGCAGGAAGCACAATGCCTGAAATCACTCATAATATAATATAGTAGTAATAGTTAAACAAAAATGCAAATTGACTTCTTAAATTCCAATATTTACGAT